AGTTGCAGAGCTCAGGCCCACGGTCTCATGAAAACAGAGTTACTTGGGGAAAACTCAGCTGCAAATGGCTTGCCGGAAGTTACAGAGGGGGTTGGTGTGAGAGCTGGGATTAGAACTCAGGAGTTCCTGGCGCTCAGTACCACAGTCAGGGTATGTCTTCACTACCCACCGTATCGGCGGGTAGCAATCGATTTATCTGGGATCGATATATCACGTCTCGTTAAGACGCGATATATCAATCCCCGAATGCGCTCACCGTCGACTCCGGAACTCCACCAGAGTGAGCGGCGTTAGCGCAGTCGACGGGGGAGCCGCGACCGTCGATCCTGCGCCGTCTGGACCCCAGGTAATTCGATCCAAGATACTTCGACTTCAGCTACGCGAATAGACTTCAGCTACGCTATTCGCGTAGCTGAAGTTGCGTATCTTGGATCGATTTCCCCCCCCTGTGTAGACCAGCCCTCAGACTGCTAGATCTCACCTCACTCCCAGTCCGACTTCCTGTTCTGTTTCTGCTAAATTGCAGAGTAGGGGGGAAATGCACTGGGAAATATTAGTGCAGATGTTCGTTTGGGCCTTAGCTGCCTCTGCGTTTCTGCTTTGTTTTGCTTCCTTAGTTTCTGACCAACATGTGCAGAACGCACAATCAGCAGGAAAAAATGGGGAGGAAAGAGGAAGCTGATGCCAAGAATAAAGACTTAATATTTGATAGAGTCCCATCCTAGCAACCCGCCAGGCCCTCGGTGCGTGCCTGTCCTATACCCATCGGATATCCGTTTACTTTGTGCGTGATTTGTGAAGAGGGTATCGCAAAAGTCATCGGAAAAAAGTAACTGAGTCAGAGGGACTCAAAGTAGGAAGGAAATGGAGTTTGCACATATATGTGACAACGGAGGGCATTCCATCTGCATGTGACACGGAACTCGTGAACGGGATTGATTGCTGAGTCGTAACATTGCTTTCCCTTTCAGCTGCACGGCAACTCTGCAAGTGATTCATGGACTAAACACTGGAAATTTTGTACTTGCCAATATATGACTGTTTATATTTTAATTAGGTGAATTCAGTCTTCGATCCTTCAAAATTCTGCATCAGGAATTTATAGCGGTTGAGCCAAGTTCTGCTCTTAGTTATACTAATTTAAGGGTCTGATCCTGACGGGTACTGAGCACCTCCAGATCCCCATTACCTTTGCTGGGAGGTACAGCTGCTCAGCATCTCTTGGGATCAGGACATAAATCCATTACACCAGTGTAATTAGAGAGCAGAATTTGCTCTGCAGGTTAGATTATGATGATTGCACCGGAGGCAAAGCAGAAACCCACCAACCCCATGTGTGTCACTGTGCAATTGGATAGGTCCTTTTGTGGGGCAGGATTTGGCTTCCTCTGAAGCATTTGGTGGTCACCACTCCTAGAGAATATGGACTAGTAAGCTGATTTGGTGGGAAAATTGCGTGTCTGAGGGTGTAAATTACAGGAACATCCTTTCTTTTTTGTGGAAACATCAACAATTTGGGACAAACCCATCTGGCTGAAATGGTTTTTAAAAGGCGTTTCTTAGCATTCTTTTTAAGCAGACTTGGCCTAAAAGTGGATGTGAGGATTTGACGGTATAATTAACACTATCCTAAGGCTTATGCCTTGACTTCAGAGGAGCATGTGTTTCTTCCAGACGCCCGTACTTAACCACGTTCCCATTTCACTGATCCCCATCTAAGGCCTTGTCTGTGTGGACGTTCTTCTTCCAGAATAAGTGTGGCTTGTTCTTGTCCCTGAAGCTAAACAAGCACAACCACGTGTGGAGACTTTCAGGAATAGCTATTCCTGGATAACACTCTGCGTAGACAAGCCCGAAGCTTGGAAGCTAATGGGGGGTGGAGCGGAGGGAATAGTTCCCGCCATCTGTAGCTATGATGGAGATGGCTGCCTGCAGGGATTGGTTCAGGGTGGCTTGGTTTGCTGGTTTATGACAGAAATGCTTCCTGCTGGACAGGGCCGGCTCCAGCGTTTTTGCCGCCCCAAGCGGCGGGGGGGGAAGCCCCGATTGGCGGCAGCTCGACTGCCGCCGCTTCATTCTTCGGCGGCAATTCGGCGGCAGGTCCTTCCCTCCGGGAGGGACTGAAGGACCCGCCGCCGAAGAGCCGGATGTGCCGCCCCTTTCCCTTGGCCACCCCAAGCACCTGCTTGCTGCGCTGGTGCCTGGAGCCGGCCCTGCTGCTGGAGAAGCTGAAGAACTTCCATGGCTGAGAACTCCAGGTTTTGCAGAAATCCTGGAAAGGTCCTTACCCAGCAGACCCACCACTTGCATGACTTCCCCCTTCCCCATACAGAGCTCGCTCACTGGGAGCATCCACCCCAATCCAATGCCCAGGTTAAATCCATGCAGTGCCAGTGTCCACCAGCTGGGATCTGTGTGTGTCTGAGCAGGAAGGTTGGGTTCCCGCATGGGAGCAGCTGACGGGGGTTAGATCCTGCTCCTGGCTGTTCTCCCCACTGGATGGGTTTATGTAGCAGCAGAAGGTGTCTCCATCTCCTCAGCAGCTGGCTCTCGGAGACGGCTGCCTAACCCAGCTTTTCAGCTGGACGCTGGGAGCCAGGCAGAAGAGCTTCGGAGGCTGCTGCAGGAGCTGGTCGCTGCCCAGTTGGCTGGGGCCAGCCCGTTTTCTTTGTGCTCTCGACCCCGGTATTGCATCAACATTGTGTTTCCCCTCTGAGGCGTGGGAAGGTGAGCGGCCGGCCCGGGTTAGATTAAACGATGGTGAGGGGTCCCCGTGGCCGCTCAGGGCAGCTTTCCCGCCTTTTCGCGGGCGTGTGTTCTGGTTCATAAACCAAAGTGCGGTGTCTGACTGGGCCAAACCCACCCTTGGGGTGGCTCCATTAACGTCAGCGGCTGAGACGAGCCCGTTGTGCGTCCCCCACCGGAGCTAGGAGGGCTGTCGCTAGCCACAGTTCCTCTTGTTCTTATGCTCACTCTCTGCGGTGTCACAGCCTGGCTTTCTCTCGTTGACGATGTGCTGTGTGTACTCAGGAGGGACTTGGCTGCCAGCCTCCTCCGAGCCCAGCCTGGGTAAATCTCTTCCTCAAACTGGCTTAGCCGGGTATCGGTGTCAGGTGTGTTCTCCATAGGACAAGTGGCAGGTTTATTGTATGTCAACATGTTTCACCATTTTGGGCAGGGAAAGGCGGGGAGGGAGGGAGGGATCCCCCAGTGTTTTAAAGGGATCCGGATAAATCCTCTTAGAGGGAGCTTTGCCTCAGTAAGCCGTAGGGAGGAAGGGCCATAGGCTGCTGTGGAGCTGTTGTGGGTAGTGGAGCTAAATTGGCCTCATTGGACTTGAGACCTAGAGCCCAGTTCAAGGCTGCTTTGCAGCTGCCGTGCCAGCTATGCCAGCCGGCGGGGAGCTTGGGGAAGCAGGCAGAAGTTAGAGCAACCATCAGAGCTGCCCTAACCAGCGTCCTGGACCAGGCCAGCCCTCAGGATCACTCAGGAGCCAGCTGCCACTCTGCCCCCCCCCCTCCAAACCCTTCCTCTGGGCGGGGCAGAATGGTCTTTGGGTGAGCTCTAGGGCTTGCAGTTGGGCCAGTGGATTTGATTCCCAGCAGAGCTGTAGCCCTCCTGTATGGCCTAGGTGCAAGGCACGTAGTCACTTGGAAAATGGGGGGCTGCTAATTTTCGGGTGCTCTACTTGAGAAAACAAAGGCCTGATGTTCAGCCGTGCCAGGGACCCGCCGCTCCTGTTGATTTCAGCTGGACTTGTGGGTCCCGAGCGCCTCTGAAAATCAGGCGCAAGGCACCTCAGGTCAGGCACTCGAGAACTGAGCCACTCAAAATGAGGGGGCACTGACATGTAGGCCAGGTCCCTCATTTGCAGAAAGGAGATCCCGGCACGTATCCATCTCACGTGTGGTGTCGGATCCCCTGACACTAGTATTTGCAAAGCACTTTAGGGTCTATAGAAGGTGCCATTGAGAATGGGGCAAAATATTGGTACCTGGATGCCATGGTGATGGGCCCATTAGAAATGGGTGGGGACAAACCTGTCAGTGGCTCCTGTGGTGGCGGAAATTCAGTCTCTCCTGTCTAGAGCTTTCTCTGCTCTCCTGTCTGTATACAAAGCCCACTTTGCAGGCTCTCCCTGTGTCTGAGCTTCCCAAGGTCCCCTGCTGCAGGTGTGTGTCCCTCACTCCCAGGCAGATCAGTTTCACTGTGACTGTTTGCTACGTATGTTGTGATCGCACTGCCGAGCGGTGAGGGGCAGAGTTCTATGTTCCCCTGTGCGGTTACCAGAGGGACGAGGAAGTGCTCTGGGGGCTGGAATGGGCAGCAGCCCAGGCAGGGAAGGGAGTGTGGATGGAACAGGCCTACGTTCTGGAGCTGGGAGCACCAGCTCCCAGGTTAAAACCCACTAGGGAACGCTGCTAACCTAGCCCCAAATGCTGCAGAAGTGTTAGCTGCGGGGGGTGGGGTTCTTGCTCTGGTCACTGTCAGGTGCCTTGGGCCTGATTGGCAGAAGGGCTGAGCACGCTAAAGACAGTGGGAGCGGCTGTGTCCCAAGAGCTCGAGGCTGCGGTTTTGGCCTTTGGCCCCCCTGCATTTTGGGGAGGAGGCAAGTTTTGGGGATTCAGCCCTCCTACAGTTTGCAGGACGGGGGGTTGAGTGCCCAGCTTATTGGGCTGGCTCTCCAGTGCTTGTGCTGCTGTTGAAACACTGTGGTGCATTAGGAGGAGCCCCCCTTACCGATCTTAACTGTAGGTATGTAGAATTCCCCCCGGTACAGCACTCTGGAGCTCTCCTTACATTAGGAGGGAAGTGCCTGTAGGCTTTGCTTCCCCCCCCCCGCTCCCCCCGCCCAAAACCTTCCTACCCCCCCAGGACTGATGCCTCCTGATTTGCATATTTAAATATGCAAATGTACCCATCTTGGCCTCCCAGCCATTCCCTGGGCAAAGTCCCCCATGCCATGAAGGTAACGGCGTTGTTTCCTTTCCCCATCGCAGAGCTCCACGCAGGAGATCGGAGAAGAGCTGGGAGACGGCGTGATCTACAGCATATCGCTCCGGAAGGTGCAGCTCCACCACACAGCCAACAAGGGGCAGCGATGGCTTGGGGTAAGCTGTGCCCAGCCTCCCTTTGCCCTCTGACTACAGCGGTGATGATTCCCCCCCACACACACCTTCGCTTCTCCTTGTGCCTTCCAAGCATGGCAACAGGTGGTCTTTGGGGTGTCGTGGTGCCAGCAGGGTGGGCGCGGGTGTAAGTGGACATATGCCACGTAAGCCACAGGCCCAGTTCTTAGCGTGCTGGGGCAGTGTTTCCTACAGCGGCTGGTAGATCCATTCATCCTTTCCCTCTCCGGGCCTGTCGCTGCACCCACTGTGGCATCGATTGTGCTGCATGCAGGCGGGTGGCTGGCTTGGGGATTATGAGCATACAACAGTCAGGGCGGGGGATGAAGCACCCCAGCCAACGTGGACACAGATGTTTTGATTTGCCAACTGCAGCTCTGGGGTGGGGGTGACCCCCTGCCCCCAATAGGACAGCTTGATGAAACATGCTCACATGTGCCTCATCCTCTTCCTGCTTTAGGCATGAATCTGGGCATCCCCATTTTGGGGTCTCCTACCAAGATCTCACCAGCACCTGGCCCTGTGTCTGGATTGAGCATGCCTGGGAGAGTTCAAATCCTTGTCTGACTCCTTGCCAGAGTTGGAAGGAGAAGGTGCCTGACCCAGGGGGCAGCAGGGGGAGCCATGTGTTTACTTGCACATCAGGAAGGAATTGGGGGTGGTGGGGGAATGCAAAATAGGGCCCCAATATCCCGGGAAGGGCTGAGCGCACATCTCCCACTGAAATCTGTGGGAGTTGGGGAGCTCAGCACTCCATGGGATCTGGTGTTTTGTTCCCTGAGAAGAAGGGGTTAAGAGCGGCTCCCTCTCCTGCTGAACAGCCTGTCTTGGAGGAAGCAGACATCCTTTTTGTCTGACACGGCCAACAAAAAGCCTCTCCCCTCCCCGGGAGCTGGCACGGGGCCGGGGGACCAGACAGGCCCCGCAGGAATGCAGCGCTGGGTATTATTGTTTCCGGCTGTCCAACTCCATCACATTCCAGTGGCAGAGCGGATGGGCAACCCCTGCATGGGAGCGCTGAGAGAAGGATCCCAGAGCCAGAAAGGCTCCAGGCCTGGTTTTCCCCTCTGCCGGCGGGTGGGTGTGTCTCATGCAAAGAGTCAATGTGGGAGCCCTGAAGGCTGTGGAAAAAGAGGCGTCTGCTGGAGATCCTCATTTTTCCCTTCCCCTCCTATTATTTTCTCTCTTAACTTTCTGTTTCCTGAGCTGAGGCAGGTCCAGGCCCTGGCCAATGGGAAGTCAGTGTTTGCTACTTTGCATTGCCAGCCCTTGTGTCTGCTTGAGCAGGGATAGCAGATACGGGGGGAGAGGGGGGGGAATGGGCAGGGCACGCCAACTTGGATCGGCATGGGCACCTCCCCACTGGGACAGATTGCTCTGTCAGTAGAGGGGCGATCTGGGCATAGGGCTGGGAGCCAGGAATGCCCCAGTTCTAATCCTGGCACTGACACCCTCCGTAGCCTTGGGCACGTCACTTGGCCTCTCTGTGCCTCAGTTCCCTCCCCCTGTAAAGTTGGGGTAATCCCCACACCGCAGGAGTGTCATGGTGAGTCTTTAGCCAGACCTGCCTGGACGCATGTGCCGGTCCAATTCTGATTCTGTCCCTCTGTGAGCAGCACGGAGCTTTCCAAGCGCCCATGCTGGGGGGAGACGCAAGGCCCCTAGGACGGGGGCGGAGCTCTTGAGCCTTTTGGTTTTCAAAGGGACTTGGTTCCCCATCCCCACCCCTTGTGCTCTCCCTGTCCGTGGAGCTCATGCTTGCGATCAGGCCCATCACAGGAGCGTTGCCCTGGCCTGATCGAATGCTGCAGAAGCTCCTGGGGAAGCTATTCCAGCTTTACTGGACTCCAAATCCCTGTCCACACCAGGGAAACAACCCGCTGGTGACGGAATCAGTGGCGTAGCAAGCGCCAGCACAACGTCCGCGTTTGTCCTGCGCCCATTCCAGCGCTGCTCTGCACCATTGGAGCTGCACTGGGACGCTGTCCCATAGCGCCCTGAAGCAGTGCTTAGCACGCTACGTGTCCTGGGGGGAAGGGCCCCTGCTGTAGGGAGAGTGGCCCTGGGACCGTAGGGAAGTGATTGTGGGTGTCCCCCTTGGGGCCTGGCTTTCTCAGCTCTGCGCTCGCGTTCCTCTCTCTGTCCTCCGCCTAATGCTGTCAATCATCCCCCACCTCCAGTTCGAGAACGAGTCAGCCTTGAACCTCTACGAGACGTGTAAGGTGCGGACAATAAAAGCCGGGACCCTGGAGAAGCTGGTGGAGTATCTGGTCTCAGCCTTCAAGGGCAATGACTCCACCTACGTCACCATCTTCCTGTGCACGTACCGGGCCTTCGCCACCACCAAGCAAGTGCTAGACCTGCTGCTCAACAGGTGATGCTGCCCCTCCCTCCCTCCCTGTGGTGCCCCTTGGGGGTGGAAGTCTGTGCCCTATCCATGCTGTGGTCCCTCCTATGTCCTCCCCTCCCTCTCCCCCCCCCACCGCCCCAACGCTCCAGACAGGTGATTCATGCACTTCTCTCCTCTGTGCCCTGCTAGTGCTGGTTCATGCCTGGTTCTGACCATGGCTCAGCATCCCACATCACAGCTGCTCCTTTGGGGGCCCCCTCTGGTTTTAGCGGGGAGCTGCCCCCATTCCAGCCTCAAAACTTCGCCTGGGCCAGGTCCTCTCCTCTCACGCAGACTCAGTACAGGGCTCTGTGCTGGGGTGGAGTGGGGGCTACTTCTCAGCCATGCTGCAGCCTCAGGGATGGAATAGTCCATGTATCCTGTCTTCCCCCCCTACCCTCCAGGTAGAGGCCCACAGCTGGGAGTGGAGGTCTTTGTGTAGTCCCAGATCTACCAGCTCTCCCCTTCCCTCAGCCCCCTGTGCTCAGGGCCTTCCAAGCCCGACAGGAGGTGGAGCAGGGCGCATCCCAGCAGTGTGTGGAAAGCCAGGCTCGGAGAGCTGCTCCTGCCTTCTCCAGAGACTTTAGAATCCCCAACCTCGAGTCCTTTTTAATGCTGCTGTCTGTAATTGGAGCTGTATTGCCCCCCTCCCCCTCCGTAGGCAGCATTTCATTGTGCCCCTAGCGCAGCGCGTTTGCCAGGACGCCGGAACAATGGGGACAGTGTTAGCGGGAGCGCATACCAGGGAGCATGTGTACTCCCGGGATTGTCCAGGCATTGCACTGCGGGTGGGGGAGAGGCCTTATGGGTCATGGGATGACTACAGCAGGGGGTAGGAAGTGCGAACTCTGCTCTTCGGGCCTCTGCTGTCCCTCTCAAAGGGCCAGCCAGCCCAACGAGTCTGTGAAATGCCCAGAGCTGCCTTGGTGCCACGTCCCAGCATTCCTAGATCAAAGCCAGGTCCGTCCCCCTGGTACCCTGTTCTGAGCATGGCCAGTGCCTGCCGCTTTAGAAGGCGGCCCTCGATCTTCCATAATGCACCTGGTTGATTGTACCTTGAAATACTCTAAGAGCATCGCCGTAGGGCTGAGAACACTGATTGTAACATCCACCAATGGCGTTCCCGGAAGTACGGCCTCTGGGAATGCTGTCCAGATGTGACAGCCCTGTAGGCTCTCAGGCAGTGCGGGTACTTCGGGGGATACCCGTGGGTGCAGTGCCCCTTAACCCTTCCCTGGCACCAGGCTCATGCCATAGAGACATGGGCTGCGCTGTCCAGCTCTGAAACTGCAGCGGTCTCGTTGAACAAGCAGGTAACTTTTGCCTGCCAGATGCAGCTTCTCTTTGCCTGTAAGGGTACGTGTGGGAAAGGGTGACCTGTCGTGGTTGCTTAGGGTAGTTGTCCCTGTTTGCATGGGACATGGGCCAATCCTGTCGTCCCCCACAGTTTGCAATCCAGAGTCCTATTCTAAGGCAACCCTGAGAGTCCACAGTGGGTACTAGTTGCCCCTGCTGGCTTGGCACCAGGCTCCTGAAAGGCCCCTGGTAGGAGTGTGTGGATCTAGGTGTCGTCGGAACCCTGTCCTGGCTGAAATGCCTTGTAAGCCCCCAAACTTCATGCAGAGGGTAGGGCTCATTTGGCCGGGAGCGGGCGATATGCCGGGAAGAGACCCGGAGTGAAGGATGCTTGTCTGCTCCAGCAGGGGTCGCTGTGGAGAGGCAACTGCCCAGCAGGGTGTGGTTTAACTGGCTCATTGTTATCCCCATGTCAGGTACGGCAAACTGCACGTCCAGGTGAATGGGGACCACGCCAGACACGCTGTGGATGAGAGACTGGAGCTGAAAAAGTAAGCATACCTCTGCTGTAGTGAGCCCTCCCCTCGGCACCAGGGCAGGGAGGGAATGTCTGTCTGTCCCCTCTGCTCCCTCCAAGGAGCGGCGCTCTCTTCACAGATGGAACCCTCTCCAGGTGCCAAAGGACCATCCACTCTGGGCTGTGTGCATGTGCTATGGAATTAGGTATAGGAGGATACAGGCACGGAGAACGCTGGGCTGAGATGGGCCAGGACTTGGATCCAGTCACAGGCTGGGAACTCTGACTGGGTGGGTCTTGGAAAGAAGCCAGGAATAGAATCCAGGTCTCCCGAGCCCATCTCCTGCTCTAACTGCTAACTGTCCCCTCTCCTGTCAAGTCCAATTTGTTGAGCTGTAATAGCCTGTGGCAGTGAGTTCCACAGGTTAATGATGTGAAGCAGCTGCAAGTGCATTTGCAGCTCTGTTAGGACATTTGGGGATGTTGGGTCTCGGCTGTTGGGCACGTGGGCTCTCAGCTGTCAGACATGTACGCATACGTACACTTTGGCACGCACACAGGTGTCACTTTATGCCCAGTTTTAACAGCCAGTCTGTCTGTCTGCTTCTCCCCAGCACCATCTCCTCCATCCTGGGTGCCTGGCTGGACCAGTACTCTGAAGACTTTCGCAAGCCCCCAGACTTCGCCTGCCTCAAGCAGCTCATCTCCTATGTGCGCCACAACATCCCCGGCTCGGACCTGGAGCGGAGAGCGCGGATCTTGCTGGCCCAGTTCCAGCAGCCGGAGCACAGCGAGACAGAGCCAGACGGTGAGCGGCGCTTCCTCCTCGTGTCTGTGTCCCTTAGTGCTCTGTGTGGTGTGTCCTGGGCTTCCCCAGTGACTCTTGTGAGGAGAACTGCGTGTGAGGGCCGTCCGCGGGGCCTGGGTGGAATGGAGGAGGGTTAGCACCCGGGAGGATCTCCAGAGCCGAAAAACCTGCCACATGACCAAAGCCAAATGAATCCACTCTCAAATGAGTCCGTTCTGTTCTGCCCTGCCCTGCCCTGCCCTCTCGAGCCCCTCGGACCCCTTCCTGCCCACAACAAGGAGTCCAGGTTGTAAATGACCCCGGGGGGGGATTCAGTCTGGGGAAGGATGCTGGCTTTCCTTGCAGTGGGCGGGGGTTCCTGCAGGCACCTCCGTGCGCCCTCCTGGCCTGTACGAGGCGGGGTCTGGGTCTTAGGGGCATGAGCGTGTCTGTTTGTGTATGAGGAGGGGAGGGCGAGCAGTGTATCAGGATGTGGGAAGGGGAGTTGGGGGAGGGTCTGGCTGTGGTGCAGGGGTGTCTGTATTCGGGGCTAAGTGTGTAACTGAGGAATGGAGGGTTGTCTCTTACTCATTCCCCGTCTTTCTCAGCTGTGGACCAGACCAGCTGCACCTTCCGGATAGTGGAGGAGAACGGACTGGGGGAGGAGAAGCCAGACTTCCTCGCCTTCTCCCAGGAGATGGTGGCCGAGCAGTTCACGCTGATGGATGCTGTGAGTATTGGCTGCTGCCTTGGCACCGAGTGCTCTGCCCATGTGCTTGGGGGCCCTGCCCGTGCGCGCTCTGCCGGGGCCTGTGATGCTCTCGCTCTCCTGCTTGCCCGTTCCCTAGAGAGACCCGTCTCCAACCCTCTCTTCCAGGAGCTGTTTAAGAAAGTGGTGCCTTACCACTGCCTGGGCTGCATCTGGTCCCAGCGGGACAAGAAGGGCAAAGAGCACCTGGCCCCCACCATCCGCGCCACCGTCTCCCAGTTCAACAGCGTCACCAACTGCGTCATCGCAACGTGCCTTGGGGACCGCTCCCTCAAACCGCAGCAGAGGGCCAAAGTGGTGGAGCGGTGGATTGAAGTGGCTCGGGTAGGACTGTCCTCTGTGATGCCAGCCGTTCCCCGGTGGGGGTCTTTCTGGGAGGTCCCCGGCTGGTGCTTGAAGCAGTGTAGCCCAGTGTGTAGGGCACTAGCTTGGGAGTGGGTTCTAATCCCTGCTCTGCGACCTTGAGCAAGTCTCAACTTCCCGTGCCTCAGTTTCCCCCTCTGTAAAGTGGGGATAACGTTACCGGTTATAAAGCCTTATGAATGGGGCTAAGAATTGTAACTAATGGCAGGAACTCTACATCCCACCTACCCTGCCCCCACTAGAAAACTAGATCCCTCTCCAAGGAGCCCATGGCTCAGGCGGTGTATGGCAGAGGGGGACCAAACTGAACCCCCTCATCCTTGGGTTTGGGTAAGTGGGGCTCAGCTCTGACATTCCCCTGCCTTGGACTTTGATTCTGCAAAATGCAAACTCGGCCAGTGGGGTTCTGGAGAGTTAGTCGCCCGTTCCTGTGCGTGTGAAGCGAGACCCCTGTTTGGGGGGCCTAAGCCTGGGCTAAGACCTACCTGAGAAAGGTTTGCAGGGAGGGGAGGGTGCCGAGGGGACTCGAGATGCTAAGGGGCCAGGTGCCCAGCTGGGCTAAATCACCATAGCTCTGACGTCAGTGGAGCTGCACTGATTTACACCAGCTGAGGATCTGGCCCTAAACATCTCCGTGGCCAAAGGGGGAAGCCAGTAACCATTGCCTGGCTGCCATCTTTCGAACGAACGTTAAACCCTGCCGTCTCCCCTCAGGAGTGTCGCATCCTGAAGAATTTCTCCTCTCTCCGAGCCATCCTCTCCGCCCTGCAGTGTAACGCGGTTCACAGGCTGAAGAAGACCTGGGACGAGGTGTCACGGTGAGTGCTGCCCCTTGGGTCCCATCGCTACGGCAGTAGCGTTGGCATAGTTTGGGGGTTCCCATCTACGCCACAAGCTGTAACGCTGCCTGACTCGCGTCCCAGGGCTGTAGCCGGGGCCCGGTGACTGTGCAGAAAGCCAGGGACCAATGTAAGACACTTGGCTGTCTTATCGGCATGAGTAACCTCAAGTAGATCCCACGTGTGAAATATTCCTGGATACCCTCCAAAATAGCAGAGCTACCTACTAGAGCTGTGATCAGCTGGGTCCTTCCCAGGGGCATGGCCCAGCCTGAAAGGGAATGTTTCATTCAGGCAGATTCCCAGGCAAATGATGTCAATAAATCCTCACGCCAAAGGGGAAGAATGGGGATTCTCCCAGGGCATGCTGGGAAAAACTTCTGCATTGCCCAAGAAAGGATCCAGGATACAAGCCGGTGTTTTGGGGAAGTGGAAATTTGGAGAATGAAATGGACTCGTGCTCTCCCAGCAGCATGGGGCTTAATGAAGATGGTTCTCGAAGGGAGCGTAGGCTTGCACAAGAAGAGGGGAAGAGAGCCCCAACCGGGATGGGGAGATGGGGACACCGGTGCTGATGCCTCCTTGTTTTGCCCCCGAACAGGGAGAGCTTCCGCACTTTCCACGAGCTGTCGGAAATCTTCTCGGATGAGAACAACCACTCGCTGAGCCGGGAGCTTCTCATTAAGGTACTGGGAGCTCAGGCTCTCTCACATGGGCTTGTTTCTGAACAGGAGGTGGGATGGGCGTTTACTCTGATGCTGCCAAAATTGCTCCACGCTCATCCCTTCTCTTCCCCTTCTTCCCCCCTCGCCACTGCCGCACTAACCCTCCTGCATTCTGCACTGCTGCTGGCTGGGGGTGAGTCTGCAGTGAGGATGAGTGGCGCAAAGGGGATGGGCAGTGAAGTCTATAGCAGCACATGCCGTGAGTTGCTAGAGGTCTTGAATGATCTTTAGAGCATGGCCCGTACATCCCAACTTACAGACACGGACTAAGTGTGCGCACACAGACAAACTCTTTGCACCCTCTACACCCAATAGGAATGTATCTGGGAGTGTGGGTGATTTTTAAAACCCAAATGAGGGTTTCCCCCGAAATATCTGCATCTCGGATGTTGCCGCCTTTTGCTAGGACATGAGCGTCAGGAAGTGAGAGACTTGAAACTGACTGGGCTATTTCAGCTGCCCAAGATGAAGGGAGAAAGGGGCATATGGTTTGTAGACTCCTCCCCAGTTTTAACTGTCAGGCAGTGTTTATAATACACACAGGGGAAACTAGTCTTTTCATGGGCCAGATCCTCCGTCTGCGTAAATCAATGGATCTTCAGTGGAACTACATCAGGGGAGGGTCTGGCCCAGAACTTCCAACTAGTCAGTTTCCCTTTAAGTCTGAAAGGGGCAGAGCAAGGCGGCACATTGTGAATGGCTGATGCTGACAGCCTGGACTGCTGAGCTTGGCTCAGTCCGGGGGCTTGGGCTGCGCCCAGCTCTGGCAGCAAGGAAATCCCCAGTGAGGGCAGAAGATAAGGAGGGGAGAGGCTTGTCTAGGAGAGAGGAGTGTCTGCAGAGGGATTCCCTCCCCTTATCTCCCTGGAACAGCGGTAAAGGAGCTCTGGCTGTGTGAGCCTGTGCCAGATGCAGGCTGTGAGATGAACTCCTGGACTAACTCCTTACGCATGCACACGAGCTGGTCTAGTACGTGCAGCCAGCACTGCTGCAGCCGCCCACGCCTGTTAGCTACCTAGAAAGGAAGTAGCCGGCTTGGTGGCCAAACCAACACTGCATCTGAAAATCTCTCTAGTGGGCCTGATTCTGCGCTCGTTCACACCGCCGTGGCACAAGAGTAACCCGGCTGATGGCAGCAGCATTACACTAGTGTGCAATGGGTGTGAGAAGAGTATTAGTGCCCGCTTGTTACTGTATTGCCCAATGCTTTCATTCTGGCTCCATGTAGGGCTGGGCTTAATGGGTCTGCACTGGAATCGCCTGGCTGCCAGAGGCCACAGGTTCAAATCCCAACATCAGAGGGGTGTGTATAGGACATTGTGCACCAGGTGGCTGCTCTGCCCCAGAGGTGGCTGCATTTTAGCAGCCCTGCACATACAAAGGCCCTGTCCAGAGTCCCACTGATTTTTAGTGTGAACGGTGAGTGCCTAGCCCTTCTCGGACTCAAAGCTTGTCAAATGCTGCTCTAGAAATGTCCATCTCCCCGTCAGGGCGTCCACTCGGACATTCCATCCCATCGCTGGGGCGGAGATCACAAAATCCAAAAGGGAACAAAACATCCCTTTGATGAGCTATTAATACGTGTGTATACGTGTGTGTTTGATGAGCTATTAATACGTGTGTGTGCACAGCATATTCCACCCGATACGGGTCTCCTCCTGTTTATAGCGTGCATGCTCAGCTTTGATTGTTCCCCCCGCCCACCCCCATAGAGACAGAGGACTTGTCCGCATGGGATGCTATACTAGTATAAGGTAGGGTGTGAATTTAAACCATTCTCGCCATACCAGTTTAACGCCCCTTGTGGACACTCCTGTTCCGGTAGAAAAGGGCCTGGTTTCACTTGAGCGAATGTCGCTCTGGAAGCTGTTTAATACTAATACCCGGCTCTTTATCTAGCGCTTTTCACCTGTAGCTCTCAAAGTGCTATACCGAGGAGGTCAGTGTCATTACCCCCTTGTACAGATGGGGAAATTGAGGCACAGAGGGGCTTGCCCGAGGTCACCTAGCAGGCCAGTGGGAGAGCTGGGAACAGAAAACCAGTGCTCTGTGCAGTAGGCAGCACTGTTTAAAATAAGCCAAAAAAAGCTACTCTTAGTCTGGAATAAGCGTGTCCGCATGGGGCGTTGTGCCAATAGAATTGGAGCAGCTGAACTATACTGGTATAATTCTACACCAGAAGTGTCTCCCATGTAGACGAGCCCTTTGCCCTCAGCAGGCGGGTGGCGCTTCTGTAACCCTGCCTGGGTGGGGTCCTGTGTTCCCTGCCCTACTTGAATTTCTGTCTGACCTTGTGAGCTGCAGGGCAGGGAACGGGACTTCTCCTGGGTTTGCAAAGCACTGTCTGAATTCTCTCCCCAGGAGGCCTGATCTCCACGATCAAGGATAGCCTCTAGTAGGGACGTTAGATCAATAAGCCAACTTACGTTGTCGTCTTCCCCCCTCCCCAATCCAGGAGGGGACGTCCAAATTCGCCACCCTGGAGATCAACCCAAAGAGGGCCCAGAAACGGCAGCAGCAGCAGCGGGAGATGGTGAGTGGCGTGGCCGCCCGTTGCTGGCAGCTCGCTCAGAGCTCTGCAGCTGTCGCTAGTGTGGGACTCACCCCTGCTCTCTCTCCTTTTCCAGGGCGTGATGCAGGGCACCATTCCCTACCTGGGCACCTTCCTCACAGACCTAGTGATGCTGGATACCGCCATGAAAGACTTCCTGGATGTAAGTATAACCCCCCCGTCCCTCCCCTTTTCTGCCTGGCTTCCCTCACGGAGCCCTGGAGCTCCCAGGAACTGGCGGAGGGAGGCTGTGTCTGAAAACAAAGGGCTGGATCCCTGCATGGTGAGACTCCCATGGGTACCCTGCTGAACTCACGCTGCCCCCTAGCGTGATGCATGGCCTCGCCCGTCTTGCTCTGCGGGATCGGTTGCCGGGGGAGGGGTTATTGGCGGCTGCGGGGAGCGTCCCTCGCAGGTTCGCTGTAACCTTTGTTTGATTTCTGTCTTTCAGGGCGGGCTGATCAACTTCGAGAAGAGAAGGAAGGTGAGAACTGTTCACGGACAGCCGAGCTTTCAGCTTGAGCACAGCTGGGTTGGAGGAAGGGGCTGACTTTGTGTATCCTGGCAGCTGGGGTCCTACGGATGCCCCCGCCCAGTTGGGGATGGTTTGCCTCCCTCATTCTGCAGTCTGTAGCACTGAGGCTTCAGTAGCTGGCTTGGGGTGGTTCCCCAGGGCTCTGATTCCACGTGGGGTGCCCGTCTAAGACCGACATCCCTCCCTCGTGAGGGTCTGGTCAGCCAGTAGGAGTGGGCCTCATTCTGTCTCTGCCTGGATTCCCGGCAGGAGTTTGAAGTCATCGCCCAGATCAAGCTGCTCCAGTCGGCCTGCAACAACTACAGCTTCACGCAGGAGGACCGCTTCGTGGAGTGGTTCCACGGCGTGGAGCGGCTGAGCGAGGCTGAGAGGTGAGCTGGGCCCGGAGCCAGGGGCTTTAGCTGCCAGTCCCTCTGCAGGGACCCAGCACCTTCCTCCTCCGGATGGGCCTCCAGAGCGTGGGCTGTTCTGCTGCTGCTCTGCTGCCTGGACCCAGAGAGGGACCCTTTGTCTCCTTCAAATCCAGGTTGCTGAAAATCTGCTGCTGAGACCTTAGGCCTGTTGCTCTGTCCCGAGCAGCCTCCCTGCAAACCCCAACGCACTGGGAAAGGGTGCAGGGCTGGGGACCCTGCAGACTGACTCCCCCAGAACAGGGGCAGTCAAAGCACCTGGAGCCTCCCCTCTCCTCGGTTGGCAGGCTGAAACCCCAGGCCTTGGACCACGATGCCACCTTGCACCCCAACTCCTGACGCTGTCAGAAACCCGCGGTGGCCCTAATGCTGCGGGTGGGCTCCAATCTGTTCCCTCCCCGGCACTGTTAAATGGCTAGCTCTGGAGGGGGCCCCCAGCCTCACCTGGCTGAATCTCTGCTCTTTCCCCCTCTCCTAGCTATAGCCTCTCGTGTGAGATCGAGCCCCTGTCCGAGTCGGCCAGCAACACGCTGAAGGCCAAGAAAAACACAGGCATCATCAAGCGATGGAGCGAGTGAGTCTCCCTGCTCTGGGCCCTGGGGAGATGGGCTGCCCAGAGCTAGCGGCCAGGCCGTGGGGGGGTGGGATTTGGGTAGCTGCTGGCTGGCATGTCTCCCTCCAGCCCCCTGCTCTTGACCCAAGGGCTGCGGGTGAAACCCGCCACAGCAGCAAGGCTGAGAAGGGCCCCAGCCTCCCGCCTCGGGGCAGCAGGATCGGCTCCAAGGGGAACGAGTCTGGTGGCCCAGCCTCGTCCCAAGCGATGCCTCGGCAAAGGCTGCGCGACAGGCAGGGAGTCAGGCCCAGAGCCGGCTTGGACATTGGCTGGGGTAGAGGCCGTATCTCCATGAAAACGGCTAAAGAACCAGGCCCGGCTCTGGCACTAGCAAAGGGTGCTGTGAGCCAGGAGTGAGGGGCGATGGCTGAGCTGGGGGAGGTTGCTAGGGGGGTGTCTGGTCGCATTGAGCCCAGATGTTGGGCCCCGGGACAGGGATAGCAGGGGTTGCTGCACTTCAGGCTGGGGGTGCATTAGCACTTCTTGGTTGTGGGGCCAGGGTGAAGGCTCATGGTTACCTAAGGGAGCTGATGGAGCTGGAGTGCAGGCAGGACCCCGGGATCTTTGCGCTCTTTATAGAGCAGAGGGAGCTGGGCCTGGGGCACAAACTGCAGGGGGGTGGGTGCTGTGGGGCAGGTGCCCCGGCAGGGGGGTGCAGAGGCTGCAGGGGGGCATGGGGCGGGGTGGGTGCCCTAGCTGCATGGTGCATGTCAGCTTTGTTCCCTCCTGACCATGTCTGTCTCCGCCCCTCTCCTGCAGCCGGCAGGTGCCGAGCGCTGAGCCCTGTGCCAGCGGCAGCTCCCATTCCAAATCCTTCGACCAGCTCAAGTGCGGGCAGTACCTGTGCAGCGGGGACACGGCCGACTCGGTCAGCGTCACCTCCGCTGGCTCCAGCAGCTCCGACGTGGAGGAGATCAACATCAGCTTCAACCCCGAGTCCCCCGACTGCCAGGAGAAGAAGGTACGGGACAACTCGCTGGGCTCTCCTCGCGCCCAGGCGATCCGGAGCCAGGTGCGCCCATTGCAGCCCCGCCTCTCCCCTGATGGCTGGGGGGTGGGGGTTCCCCACCCGCGTCTCCTAAAGGCTGGTTCTAACCTGGAGCAGATGGGAGGTCGAGCACCTCCCCTTCCGTCCCTCCTGTCCAGGGCACGAGTGGGGGTTGTCATTGGGAATTCCGTGCCTCCAGCAGAACCCCACCTTCCCCAGCTCTCATGAGCTTCCTCGGCCCCGGGGGCGCGGCTGGGGGATAGACACCCCTTTCCTCTCTGGATCGAGGTGCTGAAGCTGGTGCTTGTCCCTCCTTTCCCCCAGTTCTGGGAATGCACCTCGCTCTCTTCCCTGGACACGTCGGGGATCGGCTCTGGCTCCAGCAGTGCCTCCTCCTCCTCGGTCTCCTCCACCCCGGTGACGGCCTCGCGCACCCACAAGCGCTCCGTCTCGGGCATCTCCAGCTATTCCTCCCTCTCCCTCCCCCTCTACAACCAGCAGATCGACGACTGCTGCATCATCCGGGTCAGCCTGGCCGTGGACAACGGCAACATGTACAAAAGCATCCTGGTGAGCACTGGGTACCGGCAGCGCATCCGGGCGGGAGGGGGCTAGTCTGGGCTGGGGAGAGCCTGCAGCGTGCCCCATCTCAGAGCCCCGTGGGGGGGGGGGGGGGGGGAAGAGAGTTTGATCCTCGCGGCACCTCCTGGCAGAGCTTGCAGCGGGGATTGCTGCACTAACAAGCAGGGGAGCATGGGATCCGTCTTCAGCCTGGCAGCCACTTCTGGGTCCTGGCCCCTGAGCCCTTAGGGTGACCAGACAGCAAGTGTGAAAAATCGGGACAGGGGGTGGGGGGTAATAGACATCTATATAAGAAAAAGCCCCAAATAGCGGGACTGTCCCTATAAAATCGGGACATCTGGTCACCCTATGAGCCCTGGATGATGAGCGCTCTCCCCTCGCAGGTGACAAGCCAGGATAAGACCCCTGTGGTGATTCGCAAGGCTATGGCCAAACACAACCTGGATGGGGACCGGCCGGAAGACTACGAGCTCGTTCAGATCATCTCCGAGGAAAGAGGTACCTAGGGGTTCTTCTGGTGTCCCTCACAGCTTGAGCTGCCCGTCTTACGCTGGGGTCTGTCTACACAGCAGCTGGGAGGTGTAATTCCCAGCTCGGCGAGACGTACATGTGCTAGTGCCCTAAAGTAAGACCTAAATTTTAACAGGGAGAGAAACAGGAGGTCAGATTAGACGATCACCACAGTCCCTTCTGGCCTTGGGATCTATGAAAACAACAGCCGGGGCTTGGGCTAGTGACGCGAGGACAGACCTCAGATCTCCGGTAGGGCTGGACTCGGGTGGCTAGCCCCACCTGCTGGGGCTACACTGTTTCAGCACACTAGCCTGTGTACGTCTGCCAGCTGCTGTGTAGGCAGAACCTGAGCTGGGGCTGTCCACTACTCCTTAGAGGGGATGTGCCCCGCAGGGAAGGAGCTACTGGAGCTGCTTCTGCCGTCACTTCCTGGGGAGAACGTTCTCCTAGAGTCCTAAAAGAAAGGATGGCCCGGGGCTCAGGGTACCAGCCTGGGCTGCTGGCAACCCAGATCCTGTTCCTTCTCCACCACAGACTTCTTGTCAGGCCTTGGGCAAGTCGTGTAGTCTGTGTGCCTCAGTTTCCTCATCTGTAAAATGGGCCCTACCTCCCAGCTGCTCTGGAGCCAGAGAGATTCCCTGTGATCCCTCCCAGCGGCTGTGAGGCAGCCCCATGCTGTTCTCCTGTCTGTCGGGGAGGTGAGCACCAGCTCCATTATGCTGAGGCTGCAGCACTCGGCCAAAGTTAAATGTGAGTCGGTGGCAGAGCTGGGGCTAGGACCCAGGGGCTCCCTCGGTCCCCACATACCCTGTGCAGTCCCAGCCTTACTCTTCCTCAGCTCCTGACTGCCTGCTCCTTCCCCTTCCGCGAAGGCAGCCAGAACCTGGCAGAGCCCGTGGGTGACTTAACCGAACTCTCCTTGCAGAGCTGAAGATCCCTGACAACGCCAACGTCTTCTACGCCATGAACTCTGCTGCCAACTATGACTTTGTGCTAAAGAAGAGGGGCTTCTCCAAGGGCGTGAAGATCAAGCATGGCTCCAGCTCCACCTTGCCCAGGATGAAGCAGAAGGGCCTGAAGATTGCCAAGGGCATCTTCTAGCCATGGCCTGGCCGTGCCCCTTGCTGACTGGGCTTTGCGGGCAGCCTGCTCTAGGCCTGGCTGCTGGTCTGTCTTAACGTCACCCAGCCTGGGTGAGGGGAGCAAGTCTCGCCCGCGAGGAAGGGTGACACGCTCTCCTGGAGCTGAATGCACGGGTGTGGCTGTGGCCTCTCGGTCGAAGCCTGCGTTCCGATCCGGTGTCTCTCCTACACGCAGGAGGGTTTTTAACGCCTTCCAACGTGCGATGCCGCTGTGGCCATCGGGTTGCCCAGAGCTGGGACCTGCCTCTCTGCCTTAGGTGCCTTCTGTTAGAGCGGAGAAGAGGACGACTCACCAAGGGCTCCCTTCACCTCCCGCAGGAGCGGCCACGCGCAGGGAGTTAAGGGACTCGCTGGAGCGACAGAGCTGCGCTATCAGCTCTCCAACGGGGTGTATCCCCTCCTGTGCTGAGTCGGGCCCTGCAGCCACTTTACCTCCTGTTCCCTCGTTCCCCTTGTGGGTAAACTGGCAGCATGACCATTTTGCATCGTCCACCTGCCCCTGGGGAGCTGCACTTTGCCTCTGGACCGTTCCCCTAGGGGAGTTAAACTGGAAAACACGCAGCTGCTGCTCCCTGGGATGTATAATCCCATCAGTGGAGCAGTCTTGGTGTGATGACCTGGCCAGTGGTTTTGGCGGCTTTGTTTTTTCTTTCTACTGATCCTCTGGATCCTCCGGGTTGGACTCCTGTGTCCCCTCAGTGCTCCATCACTTTCAAACCTGCACCAAAGATCAAATGCCAGTGTCTCTTCGTGGGCAAAAAATACCCAGCCGGAACTGCCATCTGAGCCAGGAGGGGAGGAACCAATTTCTGTACAAACGTCTGTAAATAGAGACTTTCTTTTTGGTTGGGTGGGAGAGGAGCAGCCGTGTGGGGCTGACTGCCCCCGGCTCCATCCACCCAGCCCCCAGAAAGTGCCACTTATCTTGGGCTTTAAAAAGACTTTTTTAAACATTTGACAGTGAAGGGGAGGGGGAGGGGAGAGAGCAAACTTTTGTAAAAACAAACCCCTGATGTTTACTGAATTTTTTCAATATTTATTGGTTGTAAATAGGACCATCAAACTTGTACATTTTTACTAACCCCTCCCCACCCCCCGCTTGTCTTTAAAGTTGCTGGGAGCCATCTTTGTAATGGCTGCGTCCTGTTGTGTGCAGGGGTGGACATTTTTCCACATCCCTTTTGTTTCTTGATCACTAACAGGGCATTGCTTCAGCAGGGGAAGAGAAAAAGCCGAGTTTTTAAATCACTGAACAAAACACTCCCAATGGGGGCTCTTTGTTGCTCAAGCCCTTTCCTGTTTATGCACCTGCCCCTGCCCATTGTAGCAATGCTGGTGTATCCCACCCTGCCAGCTCTGGGAGCAGACAGGCCCTTTCCTGAGCAAGCCTGGAGCAGCGCTAGCCCCTGGGAGCTCCGGCTCTTAGGAGCCAGTTCTGTAGAACGCTGGTGGAAGTTGCCCCCTGAAATGCAGGTGCTGTGACTTGAGCCGCGCCGGGAGGAAAGCTAAGACACAGGGCTGTAGAGGGGGAGCAAAGCAGGGGTAGTGTCAAGCTGCAGGGAGAAAGGGGAAGGATGCTCCTATCATAGCACGACTATCCAACGCCTGTTGACCTTTCACAGGACCTGCCTGCTCTCTCCTGCCCTGCCAGGAGAGACTGTTGGATGTCTTGAGCTGCTGCTTCTGAGCTGGGTGGTAACTCCTAGCAGGGGCTTTGCCCAAGAAGGGTCTAGGGCCTGTCACGCTGCTGCTTTGGGGTCTGGCCTGGGCACTTTGTAAAGGGTGTTTGTTCATGCATCTGCATGGGCCTAAGTTCCAGGAAGTGACCTCTCTGCTCAAACAGCTGCTGGATGCTTCCACCCCCCCGCCCCCTTTGCTCCTGCACATGAAGGGAGCCATGGCCTCCTTGAAGCAGGAGCCTCTCCTCTCTCCATGGCTTTCTACAGCACCTGAGCTGCTCCTGCTACCACCTGTCTGTGGCCCCTTTGCCAGGCATAGCACTTAACAAGCTGGACCTCCTCTGCTGGAGGCTGAAGGAGCGACTGCACGGCTGTGCTGCAAACCGAACCCCTCCAGCCTGTCCCCTCCTTACCGGAGGAGTATTGTAGTACCACAGGAGCCTGCGCCGTGCTGCCCTGTTGGCTGGGAAGAAGAGATCCTTCGCCTCCAGGCAAGGACTCTCTGCAGATCAGCCAGCCTGCAAGTCTAGGGCGTTCCCTTACCCTACACTACGCTGTGGCAGAAAGTGCCTAAATGCTACCATCTTGTGGGGGCGCCCTGGCTCCAGAGGATCCTACAGGGTGAACCGTCACTGTGAAATATTCCCCTTACCTCCCGAGGAGAATGTGAATTTGAACACACGCATGCACACAAATTGACCCCACCCCCACTTCCCTCTCCATTGTACAGCTGCTAAGCTTATGTACTGCTCTGTGCCTGAACACACGTGCCCACTGCTGAAATCAAAGGCAGGGCAGGGTCGACTTACCTGTCTTTCCAGGTGGGCTCCGCACGCCCCCGTCGCTGGATGTATTATATGTATGTATTTTGTAACACGACTTCAATGAAGGAGCACACAGCAATGTAATTAGTCTTTGGAATAAAATACCAATGTGCAAATGTCACAGCCAGGAGGCTGGATGCAGTTTGTCCTCAGGTGCTGGCCTGACCCGAAAATGGGAAAGGACAAAGGCCTGTGAAGCCCTTGGCTTCTCACCAGCCAAAAGAGGAGCAGGGAGGGACTGGAGCCTGCAGTGATTGCTGGAGTGAGCGAGTGACATTGTATTGCTGGGGAAAGTGAGGAGCTGAGGCAATTGACAGGATTTGAGTCACTACCCTTTTGTCTATTACTAGCAGGGCTGCTCTTTCAGAGGGGAGCAGAGATGGGCTGGTGCCAGAGAACTATCTACTTCTCACCTAACCAGTCTGGACCCCCAGGTTTCCAGCACTGAAGTACCATTGCATTAGGCCACTGTGCCACTGAATCCAGCAGCGAGAGCAAAGGAGGATGGTCAGGACCTGACAGCTGGTTGTAGCTCTACCACATTCTGGAGTAAGTCAGCAACATGCTGGGCCCCAGTTCCCCATCTGTAAAACAGGGCTAACTATCTAGTTAATACGGTAATAGAGATTTTTAGTAGGGTTAGTATCATGCCTGCATGAAGGCTTAGGGCCAAGTAGCATTAGTGAACTGATCTCATCTGGTGTAGGGCAGTGCCAGCTCTTTCTAAACAGGGCTCTTCTGTTGCTGAGGACTGTCAGTGACACCTGCATGAAAGACCCCAATTTCAAGCAACCCCTTTAAAGTAGCTCGGTGCAAGGCTTGACCTTTACGCAAAGAGCAAGTTACTAGGCCAAGAACATGTTGCAGGTTTGATGAATGGTTCCATGCAACAGGTGCCACCAGGTATATTTTTTCACAGAACAAAACTGCCCAGTAAATTAGACCCCAGCTCTTAATGTTCTTATGGAAAATTCTGTTGCAATAAGTAGACTGGAAGAGGCCAGGAGGCGCAGCTAGAAACAAGCATTTAATCAGAATTTGGCTAGTTTTTTTTTTTTTTTTTTTACAGAATTGGTTGATTGGTTTGTTGGCCTGGCTCTAATCCAGGAAAGTGGAAGAAACGTCAGGCAGGTTCTGGTAGACCGTATTCCAGAACTGCACGTAGGAGGCTCTCAGACTTTGCTTCACCGAATCATAGTTGATGTCACTGTTGATTTCGAGGTAGTAGCTCTCCTCCCGAGTGTAGGGTATCCACCCGATGGGCACAGTAGACTCCCCTTTGTTGGGGTCACTGAAAAAGCAGACAAAACAGCTGGTATTAAATGCAAAGCTGCCAAGGGCCTCACAGCCCAGACAGGAGGCGCTCCCGGTAGCTGCACCCAGCCTCTAGGGTTTCACACAGGTCAGCCTTTCTAATGGTCCATAAACCTGGGAGAGGGAAGCACTTGCCTACACTCACGAACATGAGCAGCAGTCTGGGAGTGAGGAACTTGAACATAGGCACTTACGTACCTTGGGGTTAGCTGTCACAGGGCTGCTGGGCCGTGATGGGAAGAGAAATGTGTATGTGGGCACAGTGAATTACCACAGTGCACATCCAGGTTTACACAGGAACACCACTACCTCCATCACCTTCAACTGAAGACCCCAGTTCAATGTGTTTGCCATTCCCCTATAGCAGGTGGACCTAGTGGCCACCTACATGTGGGTGGGTGCTGCAGGTGTGACAGCAGGGACAGAGTTCCCCCCCTCCCCCCTCCTGCTGTGGGTAGTGTGGGAAGATTGCTCCCTGGAATGTTGCAGCAAGCTGTGCAACGGGCAGGGCATTGCCCCCCACAGCCTGAGCGCCTTACCCGGTTCTGGCAAAATTGGTCCAATAAGCAATCAAGGCCTTTGAGACAGTCCTGTGCTTAGGCCAGTAGCCCAGCGGGGTGCTGAAGGGTTTCCCAAAGACGTATTGAATGTCATCTGCGTGGTCTGCCCCTACCCAGCTGGGGTACACAGGCATTCGAGAAGGCTGGGAGAACACATAGGAGTAAGTCTTGGCATTCCTGCACAAACCAAAATAGACTCTCAGCAAGTGAAGAGGATATGCACCAGCATTGCTCCCTATGCACAAAGCCAGACAGATAATATTGGCACTGGAAGAGGTTTGGTCTTGCAAGATACATGCAGACACAGGCACTGTCAGATTAAAATCTTACAAACACTTGCCCTTCTGTTTTACCATGACCACCTGGACTTGAACTATACACTTATCTTTTTAAATGTTTTCAGGGCAGTGAGAGTAAAAGTTTATTTTTACAAACAAAACCAAATTTGACCCCAGTGTCCCTAAGAAGAGACATTCATGGCTGAACAGAGTCACCAACCTACCAGGAGGGTGGATAAAAATCAATTATTTTTAAAAAGTAGGTTTATTTTTAAATAGAAAAACCTAATTTGAAAAGACAATATTAAGGCTTAAATTTACTCTATATAGTTTAAATGATTAATAGATTAAAGAATATTAAGCAGTATATATTTGCTCCCAAAGTTTTAATGGAAATCAAACCACTGAACTGCTGGAAGTCACTGGCTAAGCACCTGGAACCAGAGTCTGTTGCAGGGCTAAACCAGTTTTTTGACAGCAGTAGCCTCTTCTGAAGGTGCAGAACATTTCCCCCCCCCCCCCCCATTTCAGTTTATTCAACTGGCACCACTCAAGGACTAGCTCAATCCAAGTTGAGAAACCAACTGGGAGTTGAAAAAGCAGGAATGCTTGTTTTCCTGTATGACTAAAAATGAGGTGAAAGGCTGAGGCCTAAACTTTTGAAAGACCAGCAATAATCAGTTAAATTCACTAACTACCCTTGATACTTCCTTTAAAAACAAATCAGTTTTAAATACAAAACACGTTTTAATAAACTGACAGAAAAAAGTATCTAGCCCATTTAAAGTAACTTATTTAACTAAAAAAATTTTTAAATCCTGGTTCTGTGCATTTAATAAAATTTCAGTTTCCATCCAAATGCAGCTTGACACAGCTACAAATATTAATCATCTAGCAGATAAGAAATGCATTAGTCACCCTTTTCTAAAGTAAAAATGAAGAATCTGAATAACTGTGCATGTTAAGCTATATTATTGCTTAGAGGTACGGTGTAACCTCCTGGGAGCAAGAGAACTTTTACACTTAATTTGGTACAATTCAACGTGTTTGAATGGTTACCAAGCACTGAGAATCAACCTTTCTTTAGGAAAATAAAGTGCAAAACAGGATTCAAATGAAGGTTTGCAGTTTGCTGATTTAAACCATGAGTAAAGTAGTTGAATCACTGTACTCTGCCTCCAGGCCCACCACAACCCTCTCGGGCTCACCTGGCATTCGCATTATGCAGAGCAAGCGCCCGCTGCGTGGGAATCAGGAAGATGTAGTCGGTCTCCAGGTCTACCACTGTCCTTTTCATGACCTCCTGGTCAGGGTTGTCATTCCACAACTGGGTGTAGAGGGAGAATGTGGTGTTTGCTGCCTGCATTCCCTTCTGCAGAGTCAGCCCCCGCACCACGTTATAGACCTCATCTCTGAAAAGAGACACAACATCTATTAACGAGGGACTGGCTCTGAGCTCAGTGCTCCTAGCAGCAGAGATACGATGCCTTCAGGCAGCAGGCTGCCAGTTCAAGTCCAGCTCAGGGGTGACTGCAGGTTACCATCATCCTATGACTCACAACTGGTAGCTCAACCTTCGGCGAGGCTTGCAGCCTGGGAAGACAGCTGGAAGCTAACCTTGGTGTAGCTGGTGAATGTGACTGTCACTTCCAGCCCTGCCTAGGTTCAGTTCCTGGCTCAGAGGGATTCAGCTTCTCAATTTTCGATCCCTTTTCCAGTCACGAAGAGCAGGAAAGAGCCAGGGGCAGTTGGAGCCCTCTAGAATGCTACTCTCTAGAGGTCCTTGTGCCCAGTGACTTGGTACAACTGTTGCCAACTGAGGCAGCCCTGTTCTTGACACTCTACTTGTGAAGCCAAGAAACCGTCACTTTCTGGAACGCAGGATGTCTGACAGGTGAAGGACCCAAAAGCCCTCACCCAGATGGTTGGGGGGAGAAGCCACGAAGTGTTTGAAAGCTGGAGGAAAAGGGGAGAGTTCTCCTTTCTAAGCCCCTGGCTAAACGGTACAAGAGGCAAAGATCCAGGCTGGCTCTTGGAAACGCCTCTCTGCCCTGCCATTGCATTCATATGCTATCAGCCTTGGCCCAAGCCTTTCACATGGCAGGAGCAAAGCTGGCCCTAAACAGGTGCTATTTTGGCCCAGGTCTGATCTACAGCAGTTCTCAACCTTTTGTATGGGTGACCCCTTTCACACAGTAAGCCTATGAGTGTGACCCCCCCTCCTCCCCGCCGCTTTTTTATGTTTAACACTATTATAAATGCTGGAGGCAAAGCAGGGTTTGGGGTGGAGGCTGACAGCTCAGACCCCCCCAAGTAATAACCTTTCGCCCTGATCTCTGGGATTGGTGGTGTTATTGACATGGTGCCCAAGCCAATCATTGCATTGCCAGTTCTCAGGTGCTCTACTCATTGGTTGTCCCCTTTTCTACAAAAGCCCAACTTGCTTTTCCTTTCCCTGGCTACGCCATTAAGGGCGGCTGCTACTTACGCCGTGATCGTCACAAGTGGGCGGTTGATAGCAGGCATGTCAACGCCAGCGAAGATGTGCCCGTCCATGTTATTTATGCCCGCAATGTAGTCAATGTCTGCAGCGTTAGCGAAGAGATTCTCTGGCCGGTCTGGGAGGAAATCTCCATCAACCACAGGAGTGAAAGCCAGGTAATGGACTAGAGGATCTGCAGGAGGGAAGAGGAAACAGAAATCCACTACGCATCTGTGAGAGGAGCCAACAGCCCTCTTGCCTAGCGTGGCCTGCAGCTGCTTTGCCACAGGGAGCTTCTGGATGAACAGGTTCGATGATAGCCTGGCGCCACTGAAGTCAATGGGAGCCTTGCCACTGACTTCAGAGGGGCCAGAATTTCCCCCGTTACATAGTGGAAGATAGGTATATACTATAGACCTCTCACCTAGCACACCCTATGGCTGCCTTGCACAGGGAGCTTCAGGGTATATAGTGCAAGACAGGCTTCAGCCAAATATCACAGACACTGCATTAAGGTGGCGGGGGGGGGGGGGGGGCTGAACAGCAGACATCATAGGTCAGACCAGCTAACTCGCCCAGCCAAGGCTACAGAAGATTGGGGCTTGCTCCTCCAGTCGTTCCAGCCGTGTTCCCCTACTGCCAGAAGAGGCCTAGCGCAGCAGAGGATTCAGATGTGGGACTACAGGGCAAACGTTAGCAGCAGTGGGGACAGCGGGCTAGCAAACAGTCCTGTGAAAAGCTAGTCCTGTATTCACTGAATTGGCAAACATTTCTCCACCAGCTGTACTGGGAGTGGGTCTTGCTGGCTCATATGCCCCACCTAGTGGCCCAACTGAAAATTGCAGCGCAGTGAAAAATTTTTAGCATTGCTCCTGAGTTTCACCGGATATAAAGTGTGGTACAGAACTGGACAGGACAGCTGTCTCCAAGGGATACAGAGGTTGTGTTAAGCCATGCCACGACTACCTGGGTAGTGCAGCTCCACTGTGCTAAAGAGAGAGGCATCTTTTCCAGCATGATCAATCCCAGTCAGTACAAAACGTACTTTATTGGACTGGGGGCTGACATCTTCCCTTACCGAATGATCGTCATAATGTCCCATCTGCTCACTGACTGGGCTCTGTGGTCACGCAACACCCATCCCCCTGATTCCCATCCTGCTAGCACCCACCGACTCACATGGCAGGTTGACCATCTCCAGGTGGTAGGCCAGCGTCACAGCCTGGGGATCGGTGACCCGGAGGCAGTTGCCCAAGGCCGTGGTGTTGTCAGTAGGGCAGCCCACCTTCTCCGCAACCTGCGAGCGAGAGAAACCACCATGGAGTTACACTCAGAGCCAGTGTTGGCGCAACCAGCCAGGAAAGGGGGAGTTTCTTTTTAATCCTAGAGGATTTTGTTTGCAAATCTCCAGCTCTATGGAGTATTGTGCCGCTCTGAACACTTTTGGTTTTGCTCTTGCTCTTGCTTATTAAATCACCCTCCATTTTTCACATGCAAGACCGACCTTTAACTGCCGGAAGTCTGGCCAGGACAGCGGGCCTCAGCTTGGCAGTATCAGTGTCTCTCTGAATCCAAAGGGCTTGGATAACTGGAGCACCATTTGTCCTCCTGGAGCTGTAACTACTGTGCAGCGTCTCCCAGGCTCAAATCTGACAAAGACCCTGGGAAACTCTTGCCTCAGGACATTGCCCGGCTTCTGGAGTCCACTTTACCTTGGTAGCCCAGAAGAGAGGGTTCTCCTGGATAGCCCAGGGGCACAGGCCGACACCGCTTTGGCTGATGGCTCGTTTGATCAGCCCCTTGTTGTACGGCGATAGCGTCTGCAACATGGAAGAGGAACAGGAAGGTTATTTGGTATCGAGTCCTGAAAAGATCCTTCCGTATTCTGGTACGGCAGAGAGCTCCAGCCCCCACCCAGGCTTTACATGAGGCTCAGAAAAGTCATTAGCTCTTTTCAACTCTCAATGTATTACAGGGTCTCGGGAACCCAGGGACTCAATCTTCTAAACATCAGGCAGCTAAGGTGCTCAGATATAGAGCCAACAGGGCAGTACAAGAATCCCTATAGGAGAATAGGACTGGGGCCGAAGATAAAGAGATGCTATTACAGCAGGGGAACCTTAAGGCGGGACATCGCTTGGGAAAGCAGCACCCTCCAGATCTGGAGGGTTTAGAAAGGGCATTTCTAAATCAAAGCTGAGAGAGCAGTTGTGACAAAAACAATTACTTTCTCTATGCAGAGTGAGCTGCTCAAAACGGGATGTTAATTAGCCCATTGTGGCTGGACCTACTGCCCTCCCAGGACAGCACCTGCAGTGAGAAAAGACCAGCAGCTGTGATGGGGCAGTTTCAACCAGTCACAAAACGGAGGGGAAAAGGAACCCCACGATGGCCCATCAGCAATCGCACACCTGTAACGAGACGCTGACGGCACCAGCCGACTCCCCGAAGATGGTGATGTTTTCTGGGTCACCCCCAAAGGCCTTGATGTTTCTCTTCACCCACGCGATGGCCATGTGCTGGTCCTTTAGCCCGTAGTTACCTGGCCAAGGGAAGGCATGTACATTTCAAGGAGGAGAGTTGAAGCAGTGAGACTCAAAGCCCGCCCTGCCCCACACCCCCAGCTCCACTCAGTATCAGACCTGGGGTTAGAACTCAGGAGTGCCTGGCTCCTGAGCTCATGTCTATACGTTTTGTGAAACTGTGCGTTCAAACAAGGGCTTTTTCCCTCTCAGCACCCACTGAAGCGAAGCCAAGATCTTGTGCTGGCAGGCGTTCTCCCCAGCTATCACTGCAGTATCTTAACTCTGCTAACCATCTGGTCAGATAGGAGAGACAAGATGTGCTGGGGGAGAAAAGACACTTGCCTCAAATACCCAATCCACTCGCAGCCTCTGCTCCAGGTATAAACTTGGACCCTCTCATCCCTTGAGAGAGATCCCTTTTGCCACATTCCCCTATATGGAGTGAAGGAGGCACCTCGCCGTGCGTGTGTGTGTGTGAGAGGGAGCAGGACATGAGAGAGCGCAGTATGTTGTGTGAGGGGAGCGTGGTGACAGGAAATACCCCAGCATGAGCGGAGGTGGCGGGGGTGCAGAGTGGAGGTCTCTGGAGCAAAGTGAAGCAGCTGCCGTACCTGGAACACTGGCATCCCCCGTGCTGAGGAACCCCAGCGGTCCCACTCGGTAATTGAAGGTCACCACGATGACCTTTCCTCGCACTGCGACCTCCTGGCCGTCGTAGAGGTAGTTATTGAGGAAGTTAGCGCCCTGCCCGCCTCCCAGGAGGAATGCGCCTCCATAGATCCATATCATCACCGGCAGATTTGTGGACACTGTTGGGAGGAACAGACCAAACGAAGTCAGACGAAAGCCCTTCCTTGTCCAAATGAAACCCAAGCCCCTCGATGCCACGTAGGCAGGATACCACCTGTTGGGCCCATTCACCAGCAAGTATCGCCTCACTCAGGCATAAGCCAATCTCTTGGGTGAATATAGAAACATCTGCCTCCAGGTCCACCTGACCATAGACACAGGCAGATGATTCATCATGACAATAGACTTAGGACTCAGCTACTTTGCTCTATCGGGGCTAAAGAAGCCTGGGGCAGTGCGGAAGAGACACCCAGCATGGAACTCCAATCCCTACTCGCCAAGAGAAGCACAAGCTCTCTATGGAAACGGGTTCAGTGGTGTCTCTAGTATCACCATCCATCCTCCCAGAGCCTGCAAGGAGGGTCATTTCCACAGAAACAGTGCTTTGCCCGGGGGGCTGTAGCTGCCATAACCCGCGGAGTCCACTGCTGCCTGTGGAGTTGGGGAGAATACATGACTGCAGACTGACAGCCCCAGGGGAGTCTGTCAGAGATGGGCAGCCAAACACAGAGCTGCTCAGACCTGGCAGGCCTGCAGAGAACCTTCTCCCTAATCGCCTCATGTTACCATCACGCCTGTACCTCCTTTCCTGTCTTGAGGGATCCAGATGTTCAGATAAAGACAGTCCTCGCTCCCACGAGTACCGGTTTGGGTGAGTGTGACCTGCATGCAACGGTTTTTGTACTCCTTGGCCTTCAGCGTACCTACAAGGAGAGAGAAAATTACATCCCACTTTAGAATCCTCGGCTCCATCCTGCAGACCTGCGACTCAGGTCCTGTTCCCGGCCCTCACTCACCACCATGGCATTGTTTCCAACTAGCAAAACAGCTGTGATGAGACACCCCTTTTCCCCTTTCTAACTGGCCGCTTCATACCCACGAGACTGCAGAAGCTACAACCACTTGAAACTTGAGGGAACCTTGGGAATTGTGGCCACAGAATCTGCAGGTGCCTAGCTTTGTCCTGGCACTTCCGCCCAGAGAGTTCCTGTCTACAATCATCATCCCTTCTAACGGCCCAGACAACATCTTAGTGACATTCACTTAGTGAATGAAAGCAACACCGGCCCCAGCTCCTGCACGCAACATGCCCAGCTGATCACCCGAATGAAAGTGCCATATGTTACTGCGAGGGTAAGGTATGCCATGGAGAAGGGCAATGACAGAAAAGAGGAACAGGACTTTATGACATTCATGAGGGTGGAGCAAAATATATCCCAAAATAAAATCATTGGTAGCCACCGTTGACCAGCAGGGGTATGAAAGCCAGAGCCTCTCTCAGAGGAGGCCTCTGTGATACTCAGCAAGATGGCTAATGCAGTATTGGGAAAACAAACCAGGCTTCCAAAATGGTATGAGAATTAAAATGTTCTGGGGGTGAGGGCAGAAAACAAGAGACATTCTACATGTGTCTTACCATCCCAGCCAGGATGTTGTTGAGGGTCTTCAAAACTCTTTGGAGGAGCAGCAAAAGGGATTCCTCTGAAGATATCGATGTAGTCACCAAAGAGACCCAGTTTTTCATTGACGCCCTCAACAAAACCTCCTTCAGTGTGCACCACGCCCAGCTAAACACATGGCAAGAGGAGAGAGGGGACAGCAAACACCTTCCCGTGAATGTAGATAGGAAGAATTCACAGCAGGAACACAAACCGCCCCAAGATGCATTCGCTATGAAAACAGCATGTTTGCACAGTAGCGGTGTTCCTAACCAGACTTATTTTACATCAACTGAAATAGCATCCTCTGAAGACTTTATAAAATTAATGACCACCACATTCTATTAATGAATAACTTGCACTTGTGTTCAGGATTTTATCCAGCAAGGACTTCTAAGCGTTTTACAAATATTAGTTGGTGATACATCCTGACCCCATTTTACAGATGGGGATACTGAGACACAGCAAGGAAGAGACATGAAGTCAAAGGGAGTTCCAGCAAGAAAGTTTTGAACTAAATGTTCTTTTATGCACTACTGAAGATACCAGCCTGTTCAACATGAGTCTTTTATTCACAAGCGTTGGGATTTTTAATGAAGCTTAAGGGAGTCAAGCACCCAGATCCCCTTGAATATCAACACCTATTGGGATTCTCAATGGAGGCTAAGTATCAGACTTACCCCAACTGGCCACTTCAGGGGCTACAGAAGAAGCGAGGTTGACTCATAACAAATAGAACTGGACCTTAAATTACTCTGCAGAGAATCTTGTAGTCAAGATATAACAGATGAGATGCAAAAGGTAAATGTTTGCCACCACCTGCTGCCAAAATTATCACAATGGGCTCCCCAGTATCCAGCCAGGAGCTGTACAGAAGAATAATTCCTACCCTTCAACGTTACTGAGGAGGCATGAGCTGCTCAGTGCTCAGGGAGACACAGCAGAGAGGAGAAGGCTGGGTGGCTCTTGTTTCATTGGATGAAAGCTCCCCAGATACCAGTAAGGGGAAGATGAGCATTGGCAAGAGAAACAAAGGCCAGCCCCATTCAAACTCTCTGGGTACACGTTAGCTGTCTGCACTCAGTAGCTGGAATTTCCCATTTCCATTACTTACTTTAGCCAAAGTTAAAAACAAAACCAGCCCCTTGCTACTTTGCCTTCCTCCTTCACCACAGCCCACCCGTACACAAGCGTTGTGGCCAGTGGATCAACAGTTTGCAGAATGCTTCCCTGTCCCTCACTTCCCTTCCTGACATGCCCATTCAGACTCCTGTGGGAAGACCATAAGACAGGGCTCTGCCAGACACAGGATGTGGAATATCCCTTGTGTAGCTACTCTGCAGGCTGCCCTGCAGTTCCATCGCTTTCCCGAATTCTCAAAACAGTACAAAGGAGTAGAGAGAACAGTAAATTTGTCCCAAATGAATGTATAATACTGAAGAATAAGTTGTAGCTTATTTTGTTTGTATTTGATTCTAGATATATCACACATAAGGTATGCTTCAACTCCGATACCATTGTAAGCAGCCCTTTCTGTGCGCTTGATCAAAATTTTCTCAAATGCTCTCTTTGGGTTGGAACTTTCCACATTTCATCTCACCGTATCTAAGTGGTTCACTGTGCTGGAAAGTTGACTTAAGGTCTGTTCAGCTACTGACGTAGGCAATCGGTGGGAAAGAGATTCAATTTGTTTTATTTAAAAAAAAATATCGGCAGCAAAATTAAATACAAAATTAAAACAGATAATTAAAAACAAACCACTGTGGAATAGTTACATTGTGCCTGAACCTAAATGCCTGGCACACCCAAAATTCCCACTGATTTCAATGAGTTTTGGATGCACCAAGAATGCATGCAGGATCAACGGTATGTTTGAGAATATATATTTTAAAGTACATTGCAAATAAAAAAAAATTGTTTTGTTATATTGTTGCCTGCAACTATTGATTAACTCCACAGTGCTCCAGGTATATTTTTGGTATCTCTAAAGTGGCAACATTTAAAAGATACTGAGTTGTGTAAATCAGTATTGAAAAACACTATAGCGTCATAGATAAAGTTGTTTCTGTTCTTTAAATCCTGGTCAAAAGGGGAAAAAAATGCAAAATCCATGTTAATACAACGGGGAAGTTGCAAATTTGAACTCATGAATCAGGAAGCGCAAACATTAAGATTCTAATGGCAACAACGAATCACCCACACCTACCCCTTAATAGTATTTTCAATGGCTAAATGTAGAACTCTGTATAAAATAGGTGTAAAGTTTCTACTGGAATGTTAAAATGAGTATTTCCCAAATAGGTGTGCGTTCAGATTTGCAAACTTTATGTTGCAGTACCAACAAGGTTTCCGCACTTAATAGATTCCTCTTTCCTTACCCAGAAAAATGAAGAGGAAGAAAGAAAAACCGGAAAGTGGAGTGCAGCAGACGATGGTTTATTTCGGAGAGGTAGTAGGCAATGAGATATACATTAAAGAAGAACTGCAAAGGAAAGTAGCAAGGGGACACAGCCCTTTCCCCCCTTTTGCAGGTCACCTTTAATAGAAGTCTTAGATAACTATCCAAAATAGCTACAACAGATGTTTTCTCATCTAGCAAAGGCCATACAAAACCTTAAAAGCACATTTTTCTTCTAACCAAGCAGCCTGTTTTCACGCTAACACAATTTACCTTTACACTGACTGTTATGCATCAATGAACTACCTCATACTTACTGTTGTAGCCCTTGCTACTCCAAGGTAGCAGGCTAGGGCAAAGCACAGAACCTCCCAATGACACATGATGCGTGCTGGACAAGCCTGTCCCGGCATGTATGCCTATATATACTGTATAGGAGTGCAGATACTGGCATATGCCCACGCAGCTCTGCGTAACGCCCAGCTCGCTGCCGTGTGCACCAGTGGAGATCGCCCACACCTGCAATTCACCTGTCTGCAGCCAAATCTTTCATTTCACGGTGGAAAATGTAGATAACTGGCACTAGCGTATGAGAGACTTCCAGCTGTTGCTGTTATGGGCTGGAAGCCAACCTTATCATGAGTTCCATGTCTATAACAGTTCTATGGGGGAAGGGGAAAGACTCCTTAAGAAGGCCCATCCATGTACGTTACATTTAAAGTTAGGCTAAACCATGCATTAGCAGGCAGGCAACAATCTTGCACTGATTGGGGATTGGAGAATATAAGACTCAGTAGGTCCCAAGAGTTCTTTAATTTCTCTGATAGAATGCCAGAAATTCAGCAAGCAACAGCATGTTCATGGCTAGAGGTCCCAGCCTCCAAGCATCTGAAGCTTTGTGTTTCTGTCTCCCGCACTCTCTCTTGATGAGCAGAATCAAAAGCTGGCTGATGACTGCAAAGTTGTGGGAGTACATTGCCTGGCAGGGACCACATACATCATCATGGAGAAGTGAATTACTCACTGCCATGGAAGTCTCTTCTAATTTGAGTTCCTTCCTACTGCTTTTCTTTCCAACTTCTCAAGCTGACTGAATGCAGAAGATGCAGTCAATGTACAAAGAATATTTTATTCCCACTCAGAAGAGCAAAAGGCAACTGCGAGGTATGGAGTGCCTTCCTGAACTTCTCTCTTGCCTTTACCCGTCGAGCTGAGGATGTGAACCCAATCAGTGCATTTTACGGGGAAGAACAAACACAGAAATCCAGTTCAGGTTTTTCTCCTTACTTCAAGTGAATTACCAGTCTGACCTGGATCTTTGTCTCAGTTTATATCTGACCACCAAGTAAAAGTCAGTTTAGATGAACTCTTTTAATCCAATTCTTAGTTAAAATTCTCAAATCAGAATCACTTACCTAATGAATGTCCAGTTTACCAAAATGTTTCTGTTGACTCAAAATCATTTTGGGGATATTGGCTGTACTATGTATATCTACACAGAAATCCATGAATGAATGTGTTACTGGAAAAAGGAAGAGTTTTATTAGAAAAATAGACAAGGCGTTATGTTTCATGGGGAGCTGGACTTTCCCCGAGAGAAATTGTTTGCTTCTCATGCATATACAAAATTATTACAGATACCTGCACATGTCCCATTGGATAGACTCCACATTTGATTTAAGCCAGCCAGAATGACACTCTACAGAGCCTCTCGATTAAGAATCAGCAATGACCTTGTTCGTGCAGTTCTCGATACAGAATTAATTTTGTTTGAAGTTTTTCCCACTGATCCAGAAGCCAGGTTTAGAATTGTGTGACCTCCACACATTCCCTGAATGGTTCTAATTAAAGGTTAACACTTTGGACTCAAGAGGCCAGTGGAACACCTGTGATCTGGGTTGGATTCAGCACTTGTTGAAGTCTCTGACATATCTGAGCTAGCAAGGATGAAGAGACTCTCAATTTCTGGTAAGAGGAGACAGTTCACTAACATTCCCTCACAGTGGCTGTCGTAGGAACACCTATATTGTCTCAAAGGGAAGTATAGATCCCTTTGATGATGGGAGCAGATGTTGCAGTTTGTAAGCGCAGGGCGGGAAGGGAAATTAAACACAATCTAATGGCCAAGAGAACCAAAGCAAGTGAAATCCCATCTAGCTCCACTCTGACCAGAAAAACGGCCACAGTAAATGCCGGCCATGCATGTTGCCTGGGATTGGCAATGGGCCAGCATCCCCACAATGGCATCTTTACAAATGCCTGTCACACCAACACTGTGAAAACGTGATCTTTAGCGCCTGCTCCTTCAGAGCACTTAGCACAACTGCTAGCACCATATCCAGTGCCATGTGTCTGGTTAGCATCTTCCCGAAAGCCTGGTCATGATTCCATATCCCCCAGGGCTCAAGTCCCATGCAGCCTCATCCTGCTCGCTCACTGTGTCACACATAGTCCAGGATCTCTGTTTCCATTTCATTCTCGCTCCCATCAGAAGGCTTGAAGTCCTCCTCTTCATCCTCCTCCTCCTCCTCCCCAGAGTCGTACGTCAGCTGTTCTTTGTCATCTTCAGCGTTCGACGTACTCGAAAACAGAGCTTAGTCAGAAAGAGAGAGAAGAAAAGATGTCAACATTACTTCCCTCCTCACTAAAACCGAGGATGTGTTTGCAGATAAGATTAACAGAGCCTGCCAGAAGATGTAAAAGTGCAGATCATAGTTACAGTCAGGCACCTTAATGAAACCAAATCAAAAATCAAACAAAAGCAGTTTTCCTGTGCCAGGAATTCTAACAGAACAAGGCCAGGAGGTTTTGCATTTAGAGCGATCGTGCATCTCATTCCAACTGAGGCTAACCTAATTCCTTGGGATATTGGTTTGGCCCAGGACCATGACAAGAGAATTTCCTCTCCTGTCCTTGCTCTATTACAGTATGCTATTAAATTAAACACATTAATGAAAAGATCCAGATGCCACCAATTTGAACAACCATAAAAACATGAGCAAGAGCATCATGGAACGAAGACATTTAAAACCTAGAAACTATGCCATTGGGCAGGCAAAGCTGAGAGGTTCTTACCCCCAACTATTTCATACTCACATGCCTCCAATCACTTTGCTGGTGTTCAAGTGGCAAAATCTAGTTACATTTTCCCCAGTCCCACAGAGTTTTAGGTCTTTTTCCAATGGCCTAACAAGTGCTGCTTTAAGAAGAGCAGGTGTCCTGCAGGTATCCAGGTTGATGACATCACAATAACATTGCATGTGAAGAACCAGGGGATCTAGCACCTACATCTAACCAGGCAGACTGAGTCTCCTACCACAATAGAAGGGGATCTACAGCAGGAAATGAACAGACAAGTTCATTGCTCCACTGCAAAGTGCAACACTGTGACTCAACTGCTCCTAACAACATGCCCCATAGTGTCTGGAACTGTTTTTTATAACATACCCTCCAATGCTCAAAACCCCAGAGCCATCCTTACCGGGTCTTGTGGATCTGATGATCTGCTTTATCATCAGAGACATGGTATCCCTCAGATCATCACTGGTCTTTTGAAGGCACCATCCATCCCGTTCTGTGCATTCTGTCTCCATGCCATCATTCCGATGGATGATTTTCTGTAAGCTAAATAGCAGGCAAGAAGAGAGTCAGCCTCCTGCAACCAGATCTGAATCCTTCCCTATCCCTCTGTAACATTATAAGCAGCTTATGAATGCAGAGGGGAATGATAAGACTGTAAAATGTGCTTTTCTAAATGTGATGGCGAGTTGTTGGTTACATTAAGTGTTTAGTTTGGATTTTCATGTACACACATATACCCCTATAGGTTTAAAAATAAAGTAACAATGCATTTCCCCAGAATTATGTGACAATTTGTTTTCCCTTCTGCGGGTTAAATATTTATCC